GGTTTTAATGACAATAGATGAAAAGGAAGAAAACTGGGAAAACTCTTTGAATGAAAAGGGGCAGGAGAGAAAGAGACAGGAGAGAGGAACTCAGTGTGCTTCCTTTTCTCTTCCTTTCACTGGGAAGTGGCTTTCCATGGGTGGGAGCAGTTGCTGACCCCTGTGGGAATAATGACCCAGGTGGTTAGAGGAAATAACATACTGATGTGTTTAGGAGAATCAGAACACAGCATTTATTTAGTGACTTCTGTATGCTAGGTGTTTTTAAACACATCCAGTATAAACCCTAGTCTCAGTCCATTTGGGTTGCTATAACAGAAACAGAATTCTATAGAAAGGATGGTTTATAAACAGCAGACATTTATTTGTCGCACTTCTGGAGGCTGAGAAATTCGAGATCCTGACACCTGCAGATCTGGGATCTGGTGAGGTTCTGATTCTTCATTCATGGCCATCTTTTCGCTGTCACCTCACAGGCAGAAGGGGGCAAGGACTCTCTCAGGCCGATTTTATAAGGGCACTAATCCCATTCGCGAGGGCTCCCCCTTCATGAGCTTTATCACCTCCCACAGCTCCACCTCTGAATACCATCATCTTGGGGAATTTCAACAAGTGAATTTAGGGAGACACAAACATTCCATCTATAGCACCCCTATAACTACTTTATTGAGTAAAGATTTTAAAAAGGAAACCCTTAGGTTCAAAGACCACAGTCAGTGAGGGGAGCCAGGTTCAAAGGCTGGGCCTAGTAACCCTTAAGATGCTGTTTCTTTTCCTATGATTTCATTCTCCCATTGCCACTTTATCTCTGACACTTCACTTGCCTTCCATGCGTCGTCTGTGATTTAGTTGGGCAAAACTGTTTGGGCTTTTTATTAACAAAGATACTCTCCAATTTAAGGAAAGTTATATGACATTAAATCCTATGGGTGCTTGCTTGTTACAGTTTTACAATTCAATATTGCAAAGCCATCATCATTCAAAGCACTGCTGGCTTGGTAATTCACTTCATTAACGGTGCTGCCCAAATAAAATACACAGCCAATTAGAAATAAACAAATCCTTGGAAAGTATGATTACACATTCAGGAAGCACAGAAGGTGAGGCATGTAGACAGAAGGAGGGAGATGAAGGACGGCTGTGGGGGAGGGGAGAAAAATCATATCAGGATAAAGAGGGATTTTATGAGCCCATATGTACTCTGTGCACAGTGTTTTTGGAAGGCATTTCTGAGAAATATTGGAGAATTAATTATGGAACTTTCTTGTTTATATCTCTGCCTGTACACCTCCTGCTCCCTCGCCTCCCACATCCAATTTATTTTGAAGTCCTGTCAGTCTTATCTCCAGAATAGACCTTACATCTGGTGGCTGCTCTCAGGCTGCTGGGCAGTGTGGTGCTAAGGGCCACGTCTGTATCCCAGTCTCTCTCTTTCTGGGCACTCAGGACGGGCGCGCTTTTCTGACTCCCACATTGCGACCAGGCCGGGCATGTGACTAGTTCTGGCCGGGCTAGAGCATTCAGACCCAGGGTAAGGCTGCATCCGGCATCTTCTGCTGCAGCAGTTATGGACGCAGGCTGTTGAAATGAAGGTGCACAGCTGCCCTGGAAAGCCGCCCAGCCATGCAGTGGGCATTTCATGAGCAAGTTAACAGAGTTTTGTTGTGTAAAACAACTGTGAGTTGGGTGTTTTTTATGACATCATAGTCTCAGTGGCCATCATCTCTCCCCTAGAACCCTCCTAACTTTATCACATTTTCTGTATCCTGCTTCCTCTCGTATCATTCTTCTGTGTAGTGAACCTCTTAGAACATACATTGGGTCACATCACTCTCCTGCCCCAAACCTTCTATTGTTTCTTATGCAGATAAATTCACAACATGGTTCACCAGGCCTGTGTGCTCCAGCCCCTACTTACTCCACACACCCGTTAGCCTTTAGCTGTGAGACCCACCTGCCTTCTTCCAGTTCCTCAAACATTCTGGGGCCTTTGCACATGCTTTTCCCTCTGCCTGAAAGTCTCCCTCCCCGTCCCCAAACACATACTTCCCAAAGTTCATCTAGCTCATTTGGATTATCCTTGAGATCATCACCTAAAGCAGTGGTCGGCAAACCGCGGCTCACGAGCCACATGCGGCTCTTTGGCCCCTTGAGTGTGGCTCTTCCACAAAATACCACATCGGGCGCAAACGTACAGTGCAATTGAAACTTCGTGGCCCATGTGCAGAAGTCGGTATTTTGTGGAAGAGCCACACTCAAGGGGCCAAAGAGCTTCATGTGGCTCTCGAGCCATGGTTTGCCGACCACGGAAAAGGATACCATCTCAGGGGCCCCCCAGTATGCAGGGGTCTCCCCATTACACTCCTCTAAGGCACCCACTGCTGTTTTAATGAGCCTAATCACAGCTCATAATGCTATACTATATTCATTTGTGTGGTTTTTGGTTTGATGTATCTTTCTCCCTAATCAGACTGCAAGCTCCGCTAGGGAAAGGGACCATGCCTGCTTTATACACCACCACATCCTAAGCATCCTGTGCCTGGCCCCCAGCCCATATTAAGTTGTCTTGGGCAAATACCTTCAGGATGGTCAAATAAATGGATGGATAGTAGTCGGAGTTGTATGCACAATTTGAAGGCTAAGGAAAATGATGTTACACGTTTTTGAGCATTTACTATATCAGGCATGGTGTCAAGTGCTTTACATCCATTTCCATGTCATTGTACATATCATGACAATAACACTATGAGGGAAGGACTGGAGATGTGGAAGCTGATGGCTGGAGTGGTTAAGTAGGAAGCACATGTCCACGAGTCTCCGTAGCTAGCCTGACTCCATAACCCCTTGCTTTTTTGCTGTTGTTAGTCCTTATCGGAGGATATTTTTCCATTGATTTTTAGATAGAGTGGGAGGGCGGGAGAGAAGCATTGATGTGAGAGAGATACATTGATTGATTGATTGATTGATTAGCTGCCTCCCACACGTGCCCGACTGGGGCCAGATTGAACCTGCAACCCTAGTACGTGCCCTTGACTGGGAATCGAACCTGAGACCCTCCCGTGCTCTGGCTGACGCTCTAGCTACTGAGAAACACTGACCAGGGCCTTACTTTTGTATTTGGTTTTGTTCCAGCTCCAATTTTTCAAGTTCATAAAGCAATAGCTATTAGGAAGTTGCTATTGCAAAAGGCCCTATTTCGTGGCTACTATAATAATCAAAGGCCAGATTTACTTTGCATTCTTTTTGGAGAGAGCTGTTGATCTCCTGTGCCTGCATGCCTTCTACCAGAGACAACATCTTTTAAAAATAAAGTCTGCTCACACACACAATGGTTAAACTATTCAATAACGCGTTCAATGCACATAATAACTTCAAAATAGGAAAACATGATAATATAACATCTTCCAAAGGAGCTCTTTTCTTTTTGACATTATAGTGTGAGATTTCTTTTTTAGACCCATCAGAAGTGAAAATATCAATTTCCTTTTCCACCGAGAAATCTAATAATGGAATACAAACCAGACTTCATTTGAGCACACTTTAGCAATTAAATCTGGTTTCTGTTAACAGCATCTTGTAAGCTCTCATTTTAAATCAACCTTTCTTTAAAATCTCTTCCATGAAACAGCACCTATCTGAATAAGTTGCTCCAGCCAACGGAGAGGTGCACGAACCTGCAAGATGGCTTCCAGACGCTCTCTAACAAGACGAAAAGGTAAGTTCTACACTTTTATATTCTAAATATTTTATAGCATGCTTGAAATCATCCGGAAACTAAGACTGTTCAGGCCTGACCTTGAGCTTGGATGCTCCTGTGGGTGAGGAGGACGGTCCAGGAGCCGGGCAGTGGGGCCCAGGGCCAGACCCCAGCGGCAGGGACTCATCCTGCCCTGGGTCACATTCAGTAAGAACTGTGCAGTTCTGCAGGCTAAACTTCATAGGCCCGCAGTCTTTTTGAGAATCCTGTAAACATTCTGGACCTGATTTTAGAAAAATGCTCACTTATATTAAAGTGCTTGCAATCCCAAAGGATTAGCAGATTTACCCCAAATCCCAGCTGTGGCACACTTCCCCACACCTGCTTACAATCCTATATTTCTAGAGAGTTCTTGACACCATCTTCTCCAAACTGGGGAAAAGGAGATCTAAAAGCTACAGAGCTTCAGACAGAATCGCCGCGGTGGCCTGGGGTCAGAGGGCAGCGGCCCTGCCTTGCTCCTGTCATGTGGGAAGGAACAGGGGCTGATGTTGCTGGCCCAGAAGGTGCCTTTGGGGTGGGGCCTGTGGTTACACCTGTGATATCCCTTAAAAAACTCACCGCAGTTGCATTTTGCTGTGGGCTTGATGGACAAAGGTGGAAGGTTATTGATCAGGTTTCCTCATGCCCATTCATGCAAGGGGCCCAGTGACCTTCCCTCCTCCATATTGTTACATATTTTCCCTTTTTCCCCCTGAAAATCTCTCTCTCTCTCTCTCTCTCTCTCTCTCTCTCTCTCTCTCTCTCACACACACACACACACACACACACACACACACATTTCTTCCTCTTTTAAATATAAACATAGTGTTTGTGGGAGGAAGGAGTTAAAAAGGCTGCCTGAAATCCATTCCCTCCCTTCCCTGGGGGTGTGGGAGGTTGTGTGTAAGCAACCTGGTCTAATCTCTTTTTAACTGCACCTCTGGGTTAGGGGCTAATGATATCTGCTGGGAGAAAGTGTCCTTATTGGTTGAGAGCCCCTAACAGGCTGTTCCCTGGCTTAGGGATTATTTACAGTAAATGGGACCCAGGATTTATGAGGCAGGTCTCCCTGGAGAGTGGCTCCTAAGCCAGCGGTTCTCAACCTGTGGGTCGTGACCCCTTTGACGGTCGAACGACCCTTTCACAGGGGTCCCCTAAGACCATCCTGCCTATCAGATATTTACATTATGATTCATAACGAAAATAATTTTACGGTTGGGTCACAACATGAGGAACTGTATTTAAAGGGCCAGGAGGTTGAGAACCACTGTCCTAAGTCATCCAAGTTCCTGGGTAGAAGGGAACTGTGTCGTAGTTTAAATGTTCCTGCTGTGCCAGGGACCCCACGGACCCACTCCGAGACCTTGCCTACTGTTCGAAGCCAAGGTGCATGCCCAGTGCAGGAAGACAGGACCACGGAGCATCCTTGCTATCCCAGGTTCCTCTCTGCTTTGTCTGAAACTCTTGACTGACTGGATCCTTGACCTGAGTAGGAAAGCCTGATACTAGGAGAGATCTCTGATATGAATTAGTCTTGTTGGACAATCCAATCTGGTACGATAGCTCAGTTTATTACAAAAGGATAGCGCTCTTCAAAGTTTTGTTTCCTTTTCCTTCAATTCCAGCTGATGGGCCCCAAGCTTCCCGGAGAAACAGCCTGTGCTGAGGACCTTCCACTTGCCACACCTGACCCACTTTTCTCTCTTCACTGTGGTTTTGTTTGGGTCATTCTTTGCTCTGGGAGGCCAACCTACAAGGACTTTAATCTATAGGCTCCTTTGTGACCTGGTTTTCTTTGGATTTGACCCAGAGAGGAGCACTAGAAATTGATCAGAAAAAGAAAATAAGGAAAGAAGCTTTCTTATTGTGATGTTCCTCCAGGTCAGCTACATCCTTGACTGAAGGAAGCTGTTGCATCCTGAATGAAAGCCTTGACTTTTCTTAGGACCCCTCCCCTCCCCACCCCTCCCCTTCCCTCCTCTCCTCTTCCCTGGATTCTTTAGCTTAGGTATAGGCTATAAATAGTCCCCTGATACTGTACATGGATTTTCCTACATTTGGCCCACACCTTTAGGGAATACCCCTTCTTTAAGCTTTTCTTAAATGACACAATTTGGGCCCTCATTCCTGCCAGGACCCTTGCTTACCGCAGATGGCAAGAATGAACACTTGCCAATGCTTCTCTTCTCAAACAATAAATTCATTGGATTTGGGGTGGACGTAAAGTAGCTCATGCATTATATATGGGGCTACACATCTGTTTTGATCATGTTGGAGCCATTTGTTGTTGTTTCTTGAGCTCTTTCTGCAACTTCCCCTGAGGGACTCAAATTCGAAACCTCTTGCAGATAAATGGCATCACGCCTCATGAAGAGTAGAACTTGGAAAAACTGGTCCTTGCTCTACCATCGCCTGTGACAAGCCAGTTGTACTCCTTGCCCAACATGTGAATCAGTGTATGAAAGTTGCCTTTGACCCTTCAACTCTCTTTCTGACATGAATTATTTTTACACCTCAAAGTGACAAAAGTCCTCAACGTAAGGCTGGTCCCAAGCTGTGCCTTGGAGCAAAGCACTTGGGTCAGCATGGGGCGGGAGGGGAGAGAATTCTTGCATCCTGGAAGGTGTTCTTTTCTAAGGCAGAGAATTTGACAACTCTTTTATGTGCATCCACAAAAATGGTTAACTGTAGGATGCTAATGAAAAGGCCTGTGCATATGCTCTCATGTTTGCTCTCTCGCTTTTTTTTCTGTTGTTTTGTGTTTGGTACTAAGACCTTTTCTGGGCTATTCTTTAGGGGACGGCTTTCCAGTACACAGTTTTCACCTGCTCATGTAATTAGCCTGCACTGGTATTCTGTTCGGCAAAGGTCCAGAGAGAGCAGGCACAGATCGTCCTTTGTGGTGAATGTTATTTTGCACACAGGAGACTAATTTTTTCAGGCGTATTGTCTATTTTCAGGAATTGTGCGTTCTGCGACCACTGCTATTACAGACTTACAGGGAACAATCAGGAAAGCTATTCAGTGTGTGGTGATAAAAAGTAATTTCATTTTCTTAGAAATAATTATTTAGCTCTATTTTTGTCATGGTCTGTTGAAGTCTTAGAATTTTCTCTTTCTTCCGCCAATTTGTCCTCTTCAGATTGCTAACATAGACTTAGGGAGACAGAGTCGTGGTGGGAGAGGAACATGCTCCTTTTCTCCACTGGCCTTGACTATATTTTTGAATCAGCAGTTGCCATTCTGAGGAATAGGATGGTATGTATCACAATTTTTTATTTTCTGTTTAAGGAGACTATGAACTCCAAAGGGCTTTTCACAATTATTCTCTCCCTGGTGTCAATCACAGACACAGCATATAGTTGTTGCTCAGTAAATATTTGTTGAATAAACTAATAGATGAATAAATATACTTCTTAAGCCTTCAACGCATTTTTCTCTACCATCTCTAATTTCTAGCTCTAAAAAAAGTATCCTGAAAGCCATAAACTTCTATTCCTTTTTTGAAACTACTTTGTAACTTCTGTCTTTCTCATACTTTGAATCTTCAGGTTTTCATTGTTTTCCTACCTTATCCTTTCCCCTGGAATGTTTCTCTGGGTTTCTTCAGCCCAATCTTTTTCACCAGTTATCTCACAGATAAAATATGAGGCCCTAACAGTTTGGCTCAGTGGATAGAGCGTCAGCCTGCGGACTCAAGGGTCCCAGGTTTAATTCCCGTCAAGGGCATGTACCTTGGTTGTGGGCACATCCCCAGGAGGGAGTGTGCAGGAGGCAGCTGATGGATGTTTCTCTCTCATCGATGTTTCTAACTCTCTATCCCTCTCCCTTCCTCTCTGTAAAAAAATCAATAAAATATATTAAAATAAAATATGATACTGTGTTAAAAATGCTAGGTAAGCCACCTTAGCACTGCTTATTTTCAACATGGCAAAGATTATTTGTAATTTTTTTCTGACTATATATTTAGTAAAATGATAATTGTCTGGATAACCAAGCTATCTATCTTAGTCCACATTGCTTCAGACCAATGAACTGATTTTTCTTTTAAAAAATATAATTATTATTGATTTCAGAAAAGAAGGGAGAGAGAGAGATAGAAACATCAATGATGAGAGAGAATCATCGGTCAGCTGCCTTCTGCATGCCCCCTATTGGGAATCGAGCCCCCAACCCAAGCATGTGCCCTGACCAGGAATCGAACCATGACTTCCTGGTTCATAGATAGATGCTCAACCACTGAGCCACACCAGCCAGGCCAATGAACTGCTTTATCTAAGAGCAGATATTTTTAAGGGTTGACCCAGGAAATGAACTCATTTCTCCCCTCCTGGGTTTTTCTGCTCTGTGTCTGTGCCTTTTTCTTCTTTGTGCTGCTCTTCTGTTTTCCCAGATGATCTTAGATCCTGAGAATATTTACAATTATACTTGTTTGATGTCTGCCATTTGGTCAGGGTAGATGAACTACTCTACCAAAATCTTCTAAAACACAATGTTATAACACAAAATTTTATTCTCTCTCATACAACACTCAATATAGATATTCCTTCTCGATTAGGTAACTCTCCTAATATTGACTTAGGGATTCTGGTTCCTTCCATCTTACATGGTAGCCATCTTCAGCAGTTGATCCCAGGCTTGCGAGCGAATATGCAGATGCTATGGAGAAAGCACACACAGCTTGGAGGAGACACACATCACTTCCATTGTTTGGAACGGGCCCACCTAGATGTTTATGGTCATGGGACTGGTTTTGGCCAATAGATGTGAGTGGAGTTTGTGTGTGGTTGGCATCGGGAAACATAGTGCCTGGCTGGGAAGCTGCTTAAAGCAACAACTATCCTATCAAATAAAAGAGTAATATGCAAATTAACTGTCACTCCGTCACAAAGATGGTGGCGCCCAGGCCCCTCAGCTTGCCAGAGTCCCCCAGTCCTGGGGGGGGTGGCCACTGAGAGCAGGAAGCATGAGCAGCC